TCTTTCTTTCTTTCTCTCTCTCTCCCTATCTTTCTTTCTCTTCCTTTTTTCCTTTCTTTCTTCCTTCCTTCCTTCCTCCCTTCATCACTCCTTCATCTAGTCTCTTCACTGATATAGCATTTTTTCCACCATTAAATACAAGAAAAATTTCTGTAACTCTTAAGATAATTCAACAAGTTTTTTAAAAAAAATTACCAAACCTTTGTTTATTTTTTAAAAGATTTATTCTTACAAAATATAGGTAAATAATTGCACTACCTAGAAATCAACTAATCTAAGAATTTCTCATGGAGCAATAATCATTTAGTTCCACAAATACGTCTGAATTGAAGATGCTGCAATAACAGCTGATATTTTACCCTGTTTAGGGTCAATAATTTCAATAGACATTGGCTTATCTTCTTTGTTGAGGATGACGATAACTTTTGTTGATTCTGGTGTTACAAATCCAATGAATTCCAGTGATGTTTTCTCAGCTGACACGACTGATATCCTCTTTGATCCTCTCGGGATAAACTTGGTGAAATGACCAAGATGATAGAACATAGGCTAGAAATGTGGAGAAAATGAAAAAACCTTGATACCTGCTACAAAACATATTTACAGCTATAGCCATTTAGAGGATGAGATAAAAATTGGATTGAGTTGGCATTGCAGAGCATTGTGGGATTGTTATATGGGGAAAAAAAGATGATGTCTTGGAAGTATGTGCCCTAAAACAGCCTCACAATGCACTTCAATGACTCAGCCTAGCCAGCTCCACAGACATCTCCTTGGCTCTTTTTGCTCCTTGGGCTTCCTGAGGTGAGGACAAAAAAGATGAAGGGGAAGGGGAGGGAGAAGGACAGTTTTCAAAATTTAAGTGATCAATATTTGAGGCTATACACAATTTGATTTCAATCTTTTTTCTTTTATGAAGTCACAACACAAAATCCTTTGGTACACAAATACCTGTTTATAGAAGACTTTGTTTTGAGAATCAACAACAATCGGAGCATCAACAAAGTTCTTGACCCAGTTTGGACCTCCATTCATGTTAAGAGCCAGATTCCAATCTACCCAACCAACAACCCAATTAGAAAGATCCTGGGGAAAAAATTAATGAATATTTAATGTATTTAGGATAATCAATGTTACCTCAAAGGCATGGGAACATGCAAGGGTGCCGAACAAAAACATACCTCAATGATATTGCTGCTGTATCTCTCTCCTCTGTGCCAATCTCCCAACACCACCCCTCTGGGGGATGTCACTGGACCAGTCCCAGATCCAGTACATGCTTCTGTTGCAAACATAAAATAGTTTGGAAATCTGAAAATATATTGAAACCAAAAAAATTTCAAATTTTATTGAACCGCAAAACTATATTACCTCTGCATGACATGATTTAATTAAGTCATTGCATAGCAATGTTAGTAGCTCAGAGATCAAATTGCAGCTTGTTGGGTTTTTCAGTGGGAGAAAAACCAGCCAACCTAGAGAAGTACCCTTGAATCAGGGGGGAGGCCTAACAAACTTTACTCACAAACAATAGAGCTCTTAGGCTTTGATGTAATGTTTTCCCATTTCAGACCACGTGTCATTCCCTAGAGTATCATTTCTTTGTTTGAGGTTTGCACTCGGTTGCACATAAGAAGACACATGAATTGGATACAGCTCAAACAAAGAATCTTATTCTCAAGGGAATGACACGTGGTCTGAAATGGGAAAACATTACCCCAAGCCGAAGARGTCTATTCCTAGTCCAGAAATCCAACCTGATTTTCCAGAGGTGAATAGTGAGTTTACCACAATTGATTGCTATCAAAACATAAGTCAATATAAGGTTAACAGTGCTCTCATGATTATCAAAAATCTACTCATATTTACAAGCTTCATTTACTTGTTATGTGCTTTAGTAAGGTAAGATGCAGGTGTCAACCAATCCCAGTACCAATGCACTGCTATCCCAGACACATATTTAGCAGCATCGGGATCTGATAATATAGTCTTTGCCCAGTTGTCCACAAACAGCCTTTGATCATCCAGTATTATTATCTTAACATCTTTGTACCCTTCCTGTGTTAGGGTAGGGCCTAAGTCAAGCTTAATGAAGTCCCGCTCAGCTTCTGGGGAAAATCCCATGCACTGAAATGAAAACCTGTGATAATAAAGGTGAAGGTATTAGACTATTGTGTGTTTCTTTGGTGAATATGTGGCTGCTATTGCATCACCAATGCATAATATCAGGGTGTTGCAAGGTGAGGGTTGACTGTACCTCCATTTATAGGTGAAGCTCTACCTAGCAGCCAGTAAACATCAGAGTCCAAACAGGGGTTTTCCCTCTATTTAATGGCCACTTAATGCACAATAAAGGTTCTAATGAATAGTTAATATTAATTAATGATTATTACTAACCCTGGTAAAAACCCATCAGATGGTTCATTTTGTACTGTTACACCCCAGATTTTAATGCCACTGTCTTTATATGCTTTTATAAATTTAGCAAAATACATTGCCCATGTTTTGTGGTACTTGTCACCTGCCTTGCCTTTGAGCTGACCAAAACCTACAAAAAAATGAATAGCATTTCATCATCACCACCACCATCACTACCACCATCATCACAACCATCATAAACATTACTATGCATCTTTATCACTTTACATCATCAGAACCATCGTCACCATGCATCATCATCATCACAACCATCATCATCATCATCAGAATCATCATCACCATGCATCATCATCATAATCCCCATCATTGTCATCACCTTACATCATCATCATCATCAGAACCATCATCATCACCATGCACCATCGTCATCTATCGTTTTGTGGAATGCAATCATCCATTGAATGCAATGATAAGGGCTGATGACATATTTATTATGAATAATTTGCTAAAAAAATTCACTCTCCCTTCTCACCTTCCCAAAATATATACCTTCCCTAAATTAGAAAACTTTCATCTTACCTGTCATTTTCCCATTTGTTTTCATCCAAGCAGGAGCCGACCATGGACTCCCAAAGAATAGAATCTCTCGTTTACCACTCATTTTAATGGCTAACTTCATCAAGGGAATCTTGAAGTCTAGATCTTCCTTAGCAAGGGAAAAATTACTCAGCCCAAAATCGCCAGGAAAATCATCATAAGAATATTCTCTTGTGGAAAAATCACAGCTTGCTATTGGGATACGGCCAACATTGTACTCAATACCATGAACAGAATAATAAGAGCTGAGAAGCATTTCTTGAAGTGTTGAGCTGAGGCTTTTGATGTTTATTGTGGCTGCATCTATAAAACAAGATGACATGAAATATAATTATTTAGTTTGAGCATAATTAAAAATTAAGTGAGAGACCAAGCTCCAGAAGTAAGAAGCATGTGCACTGCTACATTAACCTTGATTCCCCAATAATCTTTTAGGGGTTTGGGCATAGGTAGAGGTTGGCACCCTGTGGAGTGGGGGAGGGGACTCTGGGGTAAGAGTACTGAGTATGCTTGTCAGAAAATTTTTTAAATACCCCTAAAAGATACCGGAATTCCTTTTGGAAGTGTGTGGTTGGACGATTTCTTACCCCTAAGAGATATGAGAGTCACCCCCAGGGTACGCACATTTCGTAATAGCCCTAGCAGTCCAAACGCTTGTCGTCCCTTCATGTAATACAATCCTATTCCTTTCAAACCATCTATGATATCATTTTTACATGCATGAGATTACCTGTGAATGCGCCTCCAAATCCAAGTATACTCTGATATACAACAGACTCATTCAACGTCAAGGTTGTTACCCCATCTTCAGCATCAAGTAGCTTATCATTAAACACTCCAAGCGTTAGGTTAAACCTCGCACCAGCCTTGGAGCTCGTATAGACAGCATACTGACCAGCTTTGAGTGGAGAACTAGTTCCACCATCGTCAAAATGGTCGCAATGTTGTTCTGAACAAACACACACAATGCCATGACCAAAGTCTTTCGTATCACAGGATGTGTAATTTGCTGGGGAAAATGCACTGGATATTTCGAAAATACTGACAAACACAAAGAGTACACCGTATATTTTATACATTGTGGTGATTTCTAAGGAGGACAACTTGAGTTTTTCTTTATCTTCATTCACGTGACACTTCCAACAGGCGTTCCTCACGAACCACAAGTAGCCCATAGCGAGAAGCTCAAAGCATTTGTTTGTTAGATTTTTAACATAAAAATTCTCTTAAAAAACGTTATTTTTTGAGACTTYCTTAAAAATTCGATATCATTCTTTACTTCTGTATCAATATTAATGTTTTAAGGATTTTCTTTCTGTAGTGACGTCTTCTGTAGTATTATTTTCTGGCTTTTCGTGGGTTTCCTGTGTAAGCGCGGCGAGGTTACCTCGAACAACCCCGCGAATTTCCAAATAAAAATTCGAATGTTTTGATTCCGAAAGCATGTTTTTATCCATTTTATCTCCCTTCTTATACCCCTCATTTTTAGTAGTTTTATGCTTTTAACTTTAGATGAATGTCAGGGAACCTTGAACAAAGGCTTTTGGAGGCGATCGAGGATAAAGATTATAGGTAAGCTAAATATATTGAGCGAACAACAAACAGCATATCAGTTTATGATATCGATCGACATACATGTGCTTTGATCAAAAAATGTCCTCACTACTACTATTTATCTCTTTTTTTCTAATTTTATGCTCCTATTCTTTTCACTTAGAAAAGCAAGGTCCTTGCTTAGGACTGGAGCTCAAATAGATAAACTATTAGAAGATGGCATAGCTGTTATTCACTTCTTAAGCGGGATTTCTGGAGACGAAGCAAATCAGCTGCTGATAGACTGTTTAGAAAATGGGGCCTCCCCTAACGTATTATCTTGTGATGGCATCACACCTGTCCATGTTGCAGCAATTTGGGGTATTGTTGATAATTTGAGTACCTTGGTTGAATATGGTGGTAACGTTGAAGTTAGAGATGCCGATGGGAAGAGTCCTTTGGACTATGCGAATGAATGTACTGAATGTCAAGCAAAACATTGTGTAAAGCTGTTAACTGATCTTGCACGTGATAAAAAGTGTGCTTATACTAAAATTAAATCTAAACCAGATTCAATCAGGTGCACTCTAAATAATAGACAAGATTTAAAAGAATCTGAAAACCAGAACAAAGCCAGATTTGTCTTAAATCCAAGTGGATATTATTATATGAATGAAAGAGATCTGTTGAGTGAAGAAGAAACAAGCGCAGTGTCTTTAGATCAGACTGACAAGAGTAATGACTCCTTGTTTTTTGATGACTTTACACATGATGTTATGAAAAATCCCAGACAAGCTGCAAGGGGCTCAAAAGATATTCCTTCACTAACAAATCCATACAGAAGACATTACGTTGATGTAAGAGATCTTATGACTGAGGATGAATCAAGTTTTGACAGCTTGATGTCAGCCAGAAGTTCAAGTAGTTTTCATACTGCTAACGAAAGTGACATTAGCATGGCATTTGCGACTGCATTAGACGATACAGTTATCACTTTTCCAAAACTTCATCCATGGACTGCGGCACAAAATCAAATGGCCCTTGATGACACCATCATTGATGGCATCAATAGCTTGGACATCAAAAGTACCAGGTAAAAAGTTTCCTCATTGTTTATTTGTTTCAGTATATGAGATTCTCCTTGGAGAGAACAAGTTAGTGAACATTTGACTAATTACTAAGCTATTAATGGTAGTTTAAGCTGGAGAATTTTGCTCAGTTACTAAAGCTTTCTTCAATCCCCAACCCTTCATGAAAGCCCCATTAGCTCATTCAGTGTTATTTTCTCCAACAAGKGAAAATCTTGACAGCACCTCAAGTAACATCATCATTAACAATAGCATGAATAGCACATTATCAGATGGCACAGTTCTGTATGACTGGAAAGAGTACAGTATTCTAGAGATACCACCATCCTCTGATGAATCAGATGTATCTTTTATCATTCCTGAGTCATTGCTTAAAATGGAATGTCATCAGCTGAAGGAAGAGTTGTTGAAACTTGGTGACAATCCAGGTCCTATCAGAACTGACACTAGGATGTTGTATGTAAGAAGACTAGCAAGAATTCAGAGTGGTTTGACAGATGGAAAGGTTTGTTTAGTTTTAATGATTCAAAAAATAAATTGGTATGACACAAGATTTGAGGAGTATGTCTGTGAATAGTCCCTTTCACAGTTCCCTGCGCCATCTTGAAAGGTAGCCCACCCTTTGCATTGAAGCGAGACAACCGGTGAGCTTGCAATGATAGAGACCTTTTTTTAACACCTTGGACAATCATTCACAGGTCCCTATCATTGCAACCTCATTGTTTGTCTCTCTGCAATGCAAAGCCTGGCTACCTTTCAAGATGGCGCAGGGAACTGTGAAGGGGACAATTGGGATTTAGCAGTTGTTTCAAAGATAGTAATTTTTTCACTGAATTCAACTGTTGATTGGTGGGCTTCAAAGTGGTTTAAAAATGGAAAGGTTATTTTGGTYCTCATGCTTGCAGAAACAAGGTATGACACAAAACTTGGAGTATGCTTGTGAATGGGAATTTAGCTATATGGTTTCAAATGTTTATAGTGTCACTAAATTCAACTATTGATGCATGGTGTCCCTCAAAATTCAATTCATCATTGTTCCAAAATTTGCTAACAATTGTTTTAATCTGATAAGTCCTTTAACCTCATGCAGGAAGTTTGCTTAATAATCATGACAAGGATTAAATCTTGTGGTTTCTGTCTACAGCAGCCCTCTGACAGGTTGAAGGAATATCTCCCTGAAGTAAGGGCAGTTATCGAGGGTAGGTTACTCTCCCTTGAAATGGATCGAGTTGAAGACTCAATGTGTGTTGACTTCACTAAGAATGATTTGAGAAGCAAGTGGAGAGAAGGGTAAGAAAGACAATGAGACACCAAAAATAGAATACATTCACTGTGTCGTCATACTTACTTACTTAATTAGGTCCTTGGCCCCCTACAGAGCATAGACCATCAATGGTCCTTCACTCTCCACTGTGTCTGCTTAAGACCCATATTTGCCAAATCAATGTTCAATGCAGATTTCCTTGGACAAAGCACGGTAACAGTACTTTATTGGGAGCATTTGTTGGGCCAATCACAGCATGTGATAGATTAATTAAGTGCTCATCCTATCATGTTGTTAGCGTGCGGCACCTCCATGGTCGTGACATGGCACGGAACTTACCAGTTCATCGAATACCTGCTATCTGTCAAACTAAAACATCCGAAAAGCACGCAAATCGTTATTTCTCACCATTTCTTTGCTACAGAACCGAGAAATCCTCGTTCAACTATCTGCTGCTCGATCCTCGTGTTACTCAGAACCTCCCTGTCAGAAGCAAAAAGATGGCATACGAGGACATCTTTCATACGTTTGTGGCAGCGATTTTTTATGTTGGGAAAGGAAAACGCTCCAGGCCTTACGCACACTTGCACGAAGCTGTCAACTTGAACAAGGTTAGTTTGAAAAGCACGCTGCGCCTAGCAAATGACATGGTTATCCTCAGTTCTGCCCTCATATGTGAATAGAGTTGCTTGTTGGTTCTCTGCTGTGCGTCAAGGATTTTTCTCCTGGTTCTTTAGCTTTGGACTTCCGCAAAATCAATTTTTCAAATTCAATTCCGTCCGGCGTCGAACGCTTTAGTCATGAGTCTCTGACTCGGTAAAGTGAGCTATCCGTTTAAAATAAACATTAAGTTCATCGCTAGTCACCACCTCGAGTACGGAAGTGATGTGAAGGTGTCTCTTGCAGACGCTAATACAGTACATTGCCAGTTTGAATTAGCTAGATTAGGTTTGAGAGAAGGGGTGAAAAACCCTCGGAGTCAGAAAGAGAACCAACTAACTCAGGTCATGATAGATGAGGCGGTAAGCCGTGTGGGATGGGCTCGGAAATCATATAAGAACATGCTCACGTGGGGCGACTGGGAATTGAACCCTGGACAATTGAACCCTCGTACCATGCATGACTACAAAATGCTATTTGCTTTATTGCTTCATTGTATATCTCACTGTATCACCCATGCTTTAATTCCATCAGGCAAATCGTAAGCTGCAGCAGATCCGTGACATTTGGTCAGCAGGGCTCGGTGTCGTGTCTCTTCATTGTTTTCAAGGTGTAATCCCGGTGGAGGCTTATACAAGAGAGGCCTGTCTCGTGGAGGCTTTGGGTAAGTATGGCTGGAGCATGTAACGTTACAGCCGCCATGTTGGTTGACTTGAACAAAAGATTTGGTCTTGATTTGCTTTGTTATATCATCCATCATGGCGACCACTTTGTGTTTTTARTTCTCACGGAAAGAGGTCAGTGCAAATTGTATCCTTTGGTGCTCACATTCATCCAAGCAAAGAACTTGTGATTGTCTTCAATAACAAAACTTTGACTAGTCTCTTTAACTGATGGTGATCGATGTGTTTCACTCTGTACGCAGGTCTTGCCCGTCTAACAAATCAAAAGAGATGTGATTACTATGGGCGAGCAAAGGCGTGGAGCCTCCAAAAGAAACGTCAAATGGGTGTCTCCCTACTTAAAAGAGCACTCCAGATATTCTTGAACGAGGGGGAGAGACAAATGCGGCGTGAGGATCTACGAAGGTCTTAGCAGAGCAGATCCTGCTAGTGTATGTATGGCGTAGTTACGGTACGGTTATCAAAAACACTTAGCTTGGACCAATTTAGATAACGCGTATATGACACATCTTGGCAACTGTAAGTGTATCACATGCATCCATACAATTCTGCTCCATGTCTGCCTTCTTACTTCCTCTTCTTGTATTCAGTATGTAGTCGGAACCATGCTTTGGTTTTTACTTTTACAGCCTTAAAGTAAATTTCGTTAAAGGAATAGAATAAAATATGTTAAAGTAAATTTAGGATTTTAATTTTTATTAAGTTTCTTAAACCATTTCATATTAAAATAGGATAGCATTTATAGGCTTAAACTTGCGCAAACTTTTAGTGAGAAAGAGAATTCATTTTTTTGAAGGATTCTTATGTAAATACTCGTACATCTTAAATGAAGAATTTAAAAACAAGGCTAGAGAGAAAATAATATGCTCAAGATTTTGTAGTAATATGTCAGTTTTTAGAATTTTTAGCTTGCATTTTGTCGCGCTGTCACATTTGTTTTGTTTCCTCAGAAAGCAAAGCAGTTTTCGCACGAATGGCCAACATCGCTACCTCGTACAGGCCTTAGTGCATTATGGTCTATTTGGGGTACAATCAACACCGTATAAGGCATAATGAACAAAAGATACCCAAGCTAGACCACAATGCACCATGTACGCTATCTCAAAACAAGCAGATGACACTTCTGAATGGCTTCTGCAACTGAACCAATCGATAACCATCAACTGGAAATATACCTATCCAATCCTGTTGCTTGATTACGTAAGCCGTTTGAAAACCGTCCAATCAGAATGAGTTGGGAAGCCATTCAAGTGTTGGTGGTGCTTTACCCTTCCATTCATACTATAGTTTAAAGGTTGTTATTGATAATATTAACCTTTCATTGATACTCCTTATGAGTCCCCATGGTTACGCCTTTGGCAACAAAACATTTGTCAAAATTTGAATAATTGTTTTAGGATATTTAAACAAATGCACAGTTCTACGTATTCTGCCAAGTTTTCTGATTGTAGTATTTTTAACCGAGTTCAGTATTTAGTTATCATTTTGATACTTTGGATATCTATGAATATTAAGTTATAATTTAATTCGTAAGTTTTTACTGATTTATAAAATGATAAAACCCAGAAAAAGCTAGTTTTTTGTACTTCATTCCACTTGTCTTTTTGTTTTGATTTATTAAATTCAGAATCAAATTTAGAAAATGAAATACAAAAGTGTTGATGTGTTTAGAAGCAGACAAATCAATCACTTCTTTTTCCCGATAATTATAATATTTTGAAAACAAAATGGCAGGAAATGAGATCAATTTTTCACTTATATTGAATTATTTCTTTTGTCTGTGACTTTAATTCATCCTTTATACTATTATCCCTTCACGCAAGTCCTCATATAGTTCTCGTTCATCTTGTTGACTTGTCGTTTCTCGTTTCACATGTAAACTTGCGTTGATTCTAACCTTCATGTCTTGTAGTACAGCTTCTCTGACAACCCAATAGCTGGGGCAACAACGATCAAAACTACAAACCCTCAAATGTGAACCAGAAACGCTCAATCCCAGCACAAAAAAACGTTGAATTATATTACTACACTCGAGATAATATGACATGATCTTGTTCTTTGATATTGACTCGCTGACAAGGAAAAAATAAAATATTACCAGACGATTATCTCTCGAGTAAAATGGTCGAGCCTTAAAATACTCCCCTACGTTAATAGTATATTCTATTCCCTTCACTTCAATTGTAATCACTTCTCTGATAAATGAGTCAAGATCCAGAGAGGCCAAAAACTCTTCACCCCATTGTGAAGCAAGCTTTATTATCGCTTGTACGATTTCTTCTACCTGAGAGTACTTCTTTTCTGTCGCCAGGGCAGTCATTTCGCGAGTTGCAGTTTCGAATAACTGTCGTATTAAATCCTTTAACTCTCCTATATGTTTAGAATCAAACTTTTCTGGCCAACAAACAGCATTTCTGATTTGTAACAAAATGTTTTGTTCTCTTTCTCGAGTGTGGTCCTGACACTCCTCGATCATATTAGGAACAACCTCTGAATTCTGTTGGGAAAGGTCGTGAAATTGTAAACCATCTTTCATCGTGGGCTTCGAATGCTTAGTCACTCCATGGCCCATGGCTTTCCAAACCATTCATGAAAACTATATATTAGTTTCACAATCTTAAATAAGGAATTCTCCAATCACAAAGGCAGTAAATCAAAGCCCAGTACACGAATTTTTCCCGCTAATTTTCTTTGGTCCAGTCAGAGCTTTGAACGTCAGACTCTGATTAGATGGTGGCTTAATTTTTTCAGCTAATGAAAAGCGTCTAGTAAACAACGGCTGATTATCTTCGTCAGTTACTGTAGGTGACAATATTCTGTCAATAAAGTATGGCCGTCATTTCCTGTCGATTGGCCTTTCCACGTCGTCGTTGGGCCTTAAAGTTATTGAATTAGAAACGCCTTTYTCAATCATGTCTAGTAAGATCTTCTGGCGGATCCGACGCGAAAGTTTGCCGTTTGTCTGCAAAGACGATTTTTCAAAAATCATTAACGATAAAAAAAATTGCGGCTCTCTTCCTCTGCGTACGCAGCTTGGCTTCCAATATATTTATTTGCTACAATTAACTACAAAAAAAAAAACGTCCAACCTAACAAAAGAAAATGTACGCCTGCAAAGAACATTTTTAGAGAACTACTGTAGTTGCAAAACCTTATTTTTGGTTTACTTTCTAATGATTGTAAGATCAACAACGTCTTAGAATTTAGGAGAAAACTTTGATTGCTCTTTATTTGAGATGACAGGCTTTTAGCAATTATAATAACAGCGGCTACTGATTATTCAAAGATAAGAGGTTTTGTTCAAATATATAACGTAAAATGGTTCCTGCATTGATTTAAATTAGAAACGACTGGTGTTGTTTTAAAATGATAGATGCCCATGGATTAATTTCCTTTATTATTTCATACAGGACTCTATTTAAATTAGCCTGTGTTAAATCAGATGTTCCTGTTAAATAGTGAATAAAATAAAATAAAATAAAGATTATATGAATATTGATGAATATTGATCGTGTTGTGATAACGGCGCGTAATAATGGTCAATGATAATGTTGGTGTGTGGAGATGATGATAAGAATAGTGGTGGCAATAGGTTGCTATCAATAGACGTCACTTCCGGTAATAGCCCTTTTTTGATGGCTTGTAGAATCCTGGAGGTTGTTTTGATCTCTTGTTTTCTGGTTTGATGTCGTGAAAATAGTCAAATACAATAGATTGAGGACTTATTTTGATATGTTTTGACTTAGCATCCGCTAGTTGCCCCCCAGTCAACCGCTTGTTTGCCCCCCAGTCAACTCCAAAAAGTCATGTGATTAATAGCAAGCAATAATAACGTATGATGGTGATGATGATGATGATAATAATAATAATAATATTATTATAATGATGAATATAATAATTAAATATAATAACAATAATCATGGATAATAGTAATAATTTTTTGAAAGTAATAATCCATTAAAAAAACTTATAAATATTCTTATTAAATTAATGATAATGATAACAATAATAATGATAATAATAATAATAATAATATTAAACTTAATTACTGAAGGTAGGCAATTTATCGGAAATAATTTTCAATTGGCCTTCGAAATCTAATCTAAAATGAAATTACAATGGTATATAATTAGGGGGGGGGGAGGCTATAACACTAGTGCCTGATAACTGGTAATGATGATTATTATATAACTAAACAGTACTAAACAGTAGTGTTAATCAATACACATTGCACTATTTTATACTTCTATTTGGGGCAAAATTAATTTTGATTGTGGGCACTCTAGATACCATTTGTATAGAAAATCGCACGATCTAGAAGATCGTGCGATTTTTCGTTTATAATTCACTCAACAAAATTTCAGTAAAAAATTCGAAGCGACGCCGTTCATCTTTGTCTATTCAGTCCATCGCGCAACTGAAATGCATAAAAAAGATTAGTACTTACGGCTTTAAAATTTTATTTATGTTTTTTAAGTACAAAATGATAGAAAATAATTGTTTTGACATTGTTTTGGCCGTGTTGCCATAGCGACTTAATTCGGTGCTCCTACGGAGTACAATTAACGCTATAATTGTACTCCTCTCGACCAATCAGAGTCGAGTAATTTTGTTGAGTGTACTATAAAGGGGTAAAGACGAGTATGAGATATGAATACAATGACTATTCTAAAGGCTAACACCATTTGCTCTGCTACGAAAGGGAATAGAAGCTATTAAACTGCTGCTTACACGCGTTAGGGAAGCCAATAAACTGCAAGAACACTTTCGCCAGTTTCTAAAAATCCATTTAACTGTCTTGAATAACACATCTCACTTTGTAATTCCTGAGTCAATCGAAGAAATCACTCAATATATTTATTTTGTGCTTGGGTGTTTTTGTTGATCCCGTCTATCTAGGGTTTACTGCCACCTTACCCTAAGAGAACACTGACAATAATTTACGTGTCAGTAAACGAGAGGTATCAAATTATAAAACACAAAGAAAACTGTTAACTCGAAATGTCACGCATTCATTCTTATGCGCACTCTCACCTATGAATGATTTTCACACACTGCATGATCGAACTGTCAAATACTGTCATGCTTTAGTGAACCGCAAGCTGGCTTTAAATGAACTGTCAAGTTCCGCAAAAAGAAACTCCAAATCGGGCTTAGATGAACAGGTAACTAAAGAAAGTCATGGGTTGTTTTAAATCGAAAATGGAGGACACGGATGTGTGCTTGGATTCCGAAGCGTACGCTCCATTGTTGGATGAAAGCAGCTCGGCCCGAGGACGAGATGATTTTAATGACAATCGGGTCACAACGACAGAGAACCGTGAGAAAAATGCTGATTATGGGCTTGAAAAGTTACTGTTAAGATTACAGCACGCTCTAACATGGAGAAATATTTATGTCGATGTGCAAGATATGAGCAGTCTCGCTGAATTACGAACAAAAATACACGAACTATTAAACTTTGCCACAGTCGAAATGGGTTATCTCGTAAGAGATAAACGTTACTCTGAAGCGGAAGATATCGTGAACGCAATTTTGAGGCTAAAATCATCACTTGGAAACGAGTTAGTGGATGCCGTTCAGATTACTGCGTTTGTTCGCGAGGTGACGACGTTTAGTCGTTTTGTTTTATCCGGAGGTCAGTACTTCGAGCCTATGATGGTAAATGAAGACGACGAAAATGTACTCAAACTTTTCTTTTTCCTCGTTTCTGATACCGAAACACGACAAACTATGTTTAGATATTACGTGGAGTATACGAGTTTGATCGAAGAATTTTTCGCGCTTGTTTTAGTTACTTCTTCTGGACATGTTCGCCTTGAGATGTATGGGAGTTCTTGTCCATCGTACTGGGAAATACGCCAAGATGTCATAAAAAACGCGAGAGAAAAGATCAAGTCGTTTGACTTTGAAGAAGATGATGAATATTAAAGTCAACTTCAGCAGAAGAGCTAGGGAAGTCGAATATATATAATTTTTGATCTAATCATTAAAAAATGTCAAAATCATCGAGCTTTATCGAGATGAATTATTTAGCACTACACAATTGTCTGTGTTGCACTAAATGAATGTCTGTATCTATAAAATATAAGTAAATAACTCCAATTTTGTTTATACGGTTTAATTCTCGTAGATTCCGTTTTGTGATATCGTGAAAGATAACTTAATCGAAAACGAAACAGAATTGCAATATTTTATTGTACATCTCTAGTTTTTTTGTACTAATCATAGCGGGCATTCCTGTGTTAACGGAGTGGAAACGAAAACAATCAACAGGATATCGCTATAGTTTTTTGATCGCGTCGTCTTCTTTTGATATATATATATATTTCTCAGTCGAAGGAATACGGAACAAATTTTCGCAGGTTAAAATACACTGAGTTTGTTAATTGCTTTAGCAAATGAGAGCTATAAATAAAATGTGCTAAGACATCTGGAAGTATTGCGCGACGAGCGATGTCACGTTCAATTTACAAGAGTATTCAAAACAAATATATTGTGATTCGAAATAGTCTCCCTCGCATCCGTTTTTAGTGACGACCGACACGAAAAACGGATGCGAGGGAGACTAGGTTCGAAATTACCAGTGGAGATGGTAAGCATTTTTATTAAATTCCTAGATAATGATAAACAAAATACCCTTAATTAATGGGTTTATTAATCTGAGTGATTTGACCCTGGATTATCTTATCAGTTGGAGATTTTACCATGCATGACGTATTTAAGATTGCGTGACATAAACCAAGATTCCTGTCACTCCACCCCTTTTCTTGGAGCAGTCCAACCAGAGAGGTGGAGGTGCCTTTCTTCAATCCCTAAGGCGTACAGGGCCTATACTAGACAAGGGTTTTTTAATGATATAACAAAACCTATGATCACAAAGATAAGACCCTTTGGAGTCCAAGGTAGAGAGAAGGCTAATGATAGACTTGGGGAGAAGAGATGAGATGCAGGGCTGTCAACTCTCCCGGATAAACCGGGAGTCTCCAGATTTTGGACCGTGTCTCCCGGTCTCCAGATTAGAGTATCAAATCTCCCGGATAATCCCCGAAGCTGACCATTTCTTGTCTTGTGAGTCTAGACTTTCACAACCATAAAATTCCAATTATTTCATGTTGTTTGTGTTATTTTATATCGCTAACAAAATCAAAACGTTCCTCATGAACTGTTCTTGCAAGCAGGCCATTGTAATATAAGCGATAATCTGATTGGTCAGAAATAAACCAATCACATCAAATGTTACAAAGCGAAAGACGTCTTTTCGCGCGCTTTTTGACGCGCTGTGACGTCATGTCCCTTCCCTATCAATTCTCCAGATTTGAATATCTTGGGGGTTGACAGCCCTGGAGATGGGGGGAAACATCATCCATTCCTCCACTAAGTCATATAGAATGACCACACCCACCTGGACTGACCAACATCAACATGTAATAAATTTAATATTGAATTCCAAAATTCAAATTATACCAGATTGTAGTTTTATAGAGTCTTGTATATTATGGCCCCAGAAGCCTCATCTTCATAATTCAAAAAAAGAAAAAATGTTATTTCTGGAGCAAATGCTTTGAATCAAATGCTTTCAGGGCATCCTCTAACTATCGAGACTAAACAATCCTCATGGAGATTGATTCAAAAGTAAATGATATTTTATCAAATCAAATTTAAATGTTTTTWAGACTTTATTTATTCAAATGCTAAATTCAAATCTAACAATGAGACTCGATACTAAATAGTTGTCTCTTTTTTAGTTAATGCTAAGATAATAGCCTCCAACGCCTTTACTATAGTTACCAAACACAGATGAAGCTGTCAATCACATTACATCTATCCAATCACAACTCTTATGTACTATACTGCATTTTCTGCAAGTACAAATCTAAGTTTTTAGGATCAATTTCATTTTACTTAAGCAATTTTTCTTTTTAGCTCAAATTTTCCCTTCCATTGTAATGTCTAGCAAATTAAAACAATGCTTACAGTAAGTTTAGTAAAAATACTAATCAGAGATTCAGTGTTCTTGTCATTTATGTTGTATTTAGTGAGTGAGTTACATAAAAATAAATCAAGATTTATGCAATTGCTTTGGCTTCAGGTAGAAATCCTTCCCAGTGCTTGATAAGCTGGGTAAAAAAAAAAAAGAACAAAAATATAATTAATTTTTTCAATTCACTTTCTGTTTCATTCATTGTTTCTACTTGAATCTTTTCCTACAACTAGTCTGCGTTCATTTAATTTTTATTCTCCAGGGTTAAAAATAATGGCTGGTCATCAGACAATGTCCGGACAGAATTGAAACTTGTCTGATATTTTTATTGCCATTGGCGTTCCAAGATTATGATGGATTTCAGAGGTTCTTTCGCTCCAGTGCTTCTAGGCTGTAAGTTTGGTGCAGCGAAGAAACCTATGACCAGGAAGCACTGGAGCAAGAGAGTTTCTGGAACCCAGGGTACATAATGATGAACATGCACAGAAAATTACACTCTGTCTGAAATTGGTTTTAGTGTCTGAAAAAATGTTTAGTATGTAAGCTGTTATGTGTTGATGTGAGTTGACCCTCTTCTTGAGCCCATTCACAAATATATTCAAATAATAAGCTAAATTCCCAAGCATTCTAAGGTATATATACAGTATTTATATTTTCCTACCTGTTGCTGTGTTTCCATCATGGCTTCAAGGTATGTAATGATGGCTTGACGGAAGTCCTTTACACGATTTGTCTGCACAATAATGTGAATATAAATTTTAATCATTATTTTGAAATGACAAGATAAACAAATGGGAATTGGGATGGGAATTGGGATGGAGTGGATGGAAGTGGGTGAGAGCATACCAGTTAGTAGTAGTGGGGGAAAGGAAAGGCAATAAATGGGAATTGGATAGGAAAGGTCAACAAAAGTGGAGTAAAAGCAATGAGGGTTTAGTAAATGGTAATAGCAGGGGATAAGAATGGAATGAATATGTTAAACTATGAGAATTAATGGGAATAGCGGGAAGGTGATWAAAAAAATCATTCGTTATACAGTACCTCAAAGCGTGACATTTCCTTGCGAATGGTTTTTGAGATTTCTTCRAAGTCCTCTTGTCCTTTCTCTACCTTCTGCTCCCACTATACCAGACGAATTAGAAACAAAATTTAGTTATAAGCTTAGATAAGTCAATAACTGTAGTATACCATGAAATACCAGTCATATGCCTACTAGTCTGCTAATATAAGCATTCTTCCAGTTAAGCCCCCTTGTTATAATCCCAACTCTGGTATATAGCATCATCTTTCTAGTTATAAACACTCCAATTTATAACCCCACTAGTCTATTAATACAAACATTCTTCCAGTTATAAGCCCCCCTCTGGTTAATAGCATTATTGGTCCAGTTATGAGCCTCTACTGGTTATAAGCCCACCAAAAAAAAGGGTATAAGCCCAAGGATTTTAACCAGGATTTTAGTGAAGGCCCTTTTTCCATGGCTGCACACTTATCTTAGTTCAAGAATATTTTTCTCACCTCTTTGACCTCCTCTTGTGCTTGAGGTAACTTCTCATTCTTCCCAGCCAACTCTATCTTGACTAAAGCTTCTCTTTTCTTCGTCAAAGTCTGCTGAGCACTCTGCCAGTTACTGTAGGATCTTACACGTTCATGAAAACAAGCCTAAAATACCATGATAGATAAGTACTATAATTCATAGAGGCAGGGCTCAAAATAATGGGAAGCACAGGTGGCGTAGCAGTGAGAGCGCTAGCCTCTCACCAATACAACCGGGTTCGAGTCCCACTGAGCTCGGTGTCGTATGTGAGTAGAGTTGCTTGTTGGTTCTCTCCTGTGCTTCGAGGGTTTTCCGGGTTCTCCAGTTTTCCTCCCTCCATAAAAATCAACTTCTAAATTCCAATTGGAATCCAGTAGAAGAAGAGCCACTCTGTGGGATCCACTTTATAATCCCATTATTATTTATTTATTTATTTTATTATCATTATAATAGTTGTTCAACAGACAATGTCTGCCCAAAATGATCATCATGTCCGTCCATTATTTTCAAGCCTGAGAGGAATTCCATTTAAATCAAGAAATAAAATCTACATGTAATAGTTTAATAATAACAAATAATAATAAAATACCTTCACTGACTGTATAAGACCAATGTAATCCTTTAACAGCTCAGACAACACAAAAAAGTCAGTTTCTGCCTGTAATTAAAAAAATAACGAACAATAAGTCCTATATTTTAATAGTTCAAAAAGTAAGGAAATCGGAAAAGATTCTTAAGGAGTGACAACTAGCATGTACATGGGTTTCCTGTGTGGCTAATTTAAGCTTGATTAAAGTGTTATTAGATCTACTGACATCACTTTATGCAGCACTCTCCTTTCTTCTCAAACTCGATAATAAATTCGCTATAAAAGCAGTGTAAAATTAATTTGAATAACCTTTCTTTGAGGCTCATAACCCTTTATATATATATGATGATGAGGAACTAATAACTTGAATGTGATACCTGTTGGGATTGTAGCTGTTCAATTTTCTCCTCCACTTCAGCTAATTGTGTCAGTGCACGAGAAAGTGATGTATGCTCCTCGGAATTACCTAGTAAATGATAATATCCAAATATTCATTAATAAAATCCATAGACTTTAAGATCCATAAATCTGTCTGTAAGTACGACACTTTTTACCTCAGTAAAGAACGAGAAACATAGGTTGCACCGTCAAAATTAAAATGCTGTTGGGYGTAACAGCATGTGATTATTTAACTGACAAAGTCTAAGAGTGAAGAGTCTGGCATAATAACTATGTACCATTGCATCTAACAACATTGTACTGTACTTTTGATGGCAAAACTTATGTCTCTAAACTTTCTCGTTTCTTACTCAAGAGATAAGCATAGTATCTGGATAATAATAATRTGTTAACAGATCTGATCTATTAAGAAAATTCAAGTCAATACTTACTTAACATGGCAGCACTTTTAGCAAAGCTACCAGTGGTGGTGCTTAGCTCTGGAAATTTAACAGAGAAATACATCATTTTACTACCTTTTATAAGCACAAGAACAAATAATATGCATAACACAATAATATTGATTGGAGGGCATTGGAGGCATAGCAGTTTACTACTTACCTCTCACCGCTGAAGTCCAGGTTCAAGCCCTGACTCAGACTGGATTATAATTATGCGAGTTGAGTTCGTTTATTCACCCTTCATACAACCGGGCCCTGGCATGTTGTTCTCTCTCTTGCCATGAGGGTTTTTCTCTGGGTTCTCCGGTTTTCACCGTAAAAATCAACATGTGAGTTGAGTGTTGTATATTGTGAATATAGGTAGTGGTAGTGCATGTGGAGGGAAATTCATGGTAGAACCCCATACAAGGAATGATGACTGTAAAAAATATAATAAAAAATATACTATAAATACAAATCCTTACCTTTTCTGTTCATTACAAGTAGTTCTACATTGTGATGTAGTTTCTTGAGCTGTTGGTCCAGGGTCTCAATTTGTGCTTGTTTTTCTTCAAACCACTGTTAACAAATAAGCATGTTTCATATACATTACTATTACAGTAATAAACTTAATCTAAGTGTTTATATATGACTTTTTGACTGACCAGCTGACTGACTGAATACTGGTAGACAGATGGACAGATGTCACTGACTGACAAGCTGACCAAACTCACTTGATTGACTTTCTGATTAACTGTCTGACTGACTGATGATTGACTAATGAACTGACTGACAGACAAACAGACTGACAGACAGATTGACAGACTGATTGATAGACTGACTGACTGACTGACTGAATGACTGATGGGCTGACTGATGAACTGACTGATGACTGACTAATGAACTGACTAACAGATTGACTGAATGACTGAATGGCCAACTGACTGATGGACATACTAAGTGAAAACTGATAAAGAGTCAATGCAGTACCTGATCAGACTCAGACATCTTYGTAGTAAGATTAAACATAGTATCCCCAACAGACTTTACAAAGCGCTTTATTCCTCCACCACTCAGAGCAGCCGTATCTTTTGCTCTTGGAAGCTAATAAATAATATTGATAATTAAAACTGAACAGTAACATAACRCTGATTTCATGTGGGGGAAAATATTGCATATTTGTACCACATTTTCGAGTGAATTTTTTAAAATAAACTTTAACTGTATTACCTGTGCATAAATAATATAGAACAGTATCTTGTACTGTTAACATCATTAACAGTGCAAGTGGGTGCTGTTTGTTTACCTCTAATTCAATAACAGAGGGCCAAAAATAATGGCTACTCAATGGCCAGACATGATGACTGGTAACATCAGACTGTAACCAGTTATTTAGGGCAGTCAATGTGACCAGTCAATGTGACCAGTCAAGAGGGTGAGCCTAAGAATCATTTGGACGGACAAGTTAGTGACAACTTTGACTAAATATTATCCATTTACCGGCCATTATTTTTTGCCCTGATTAGCTCTCTAGTCATAATAATAGGAAGATGTCAAACTTTATACCATTTCAGCTTCCAGAAACTGTCTAAAGTCTGGATCTGCTCTAAGAGACGGATGAGCTGCAATGCGGTTCATAAACCTAGAGAGAATTTTGTAAAACATTCATGATTTTGCAGGTGAAGAGTAAATTATGACATTTGATAGAGAAATGTCTTGTTTGAGCAGGTTTCCTACTAACTGATTATTCCAAGGGTTTTCAAGAAAAGCTACAAATGTTTGAATCAGTGATTTGATATTTTGGTACCTCCTAGTTACAGTACCTCTTCATACTTGTGGCTAATTTAATTGAATAATCTCTCTCTAGACTAATAACTTACAACTGCATCTGCAATCTTCAAGGATTAAACATTGCATTCTTTTTCAAAGGCTTTTAAATGAACAGCACAAATCCTATTCATATTATCCTAACCTTTCAAGAAGAGCTTTCCTCCTGTCTACAAATTCTTTAGATTTTTCTTCCTCCTTGCCAAACTTGACTTTACCCATGCCTTATGACCAAAAAACAGAACAAAAGAAATGAGAGACAAGAATAACTAAAAGACTGCTTACAACCATTGGAGGTTGGCAGTCTTAGATTTCAAATTAAAGTTGACTAGTAGGAACAAGACTAAAAGTGGGGGACCGATAATAAAGACATCTTGGTTGATCTAGCAAGAGAAGCTTGATGAAAAATGCTTTGTATAGTCAACCAACATGGCGGCTAGGACGTAACATGCTCCCCAAGAATTGAAAATTTCATGGAATGTATGTGTATGCGTGTTGAGGGGGCTTGAGACTTATTTTGCCAGCCCCTTCCTCTCTGCCGTTTATGAACTAATGAAAAATTTAAAATTAACATCCAGGTTTATTTTCTCACCAAGAACAGATTTTTCTGGAGCTGGAGGGACAACTCGGCCAAGATGAAGGTACTTGCTTGACAATCTCTCATGCAGACCAAGAAAATCACTGAACCTTCTCTTTACAGTTGTAGTCGGACTCTTGAATTCTGGCATACTTGTCTGGAAATAAATGGTGATTACTTTTAAATACTCATTTAAACTGTCATYGAGAGCCTATGCTTATCATGAAGGGGAAAAATGCACATGTGCATATTATGTGCAGTTATAAAGAAAACACACAAAATTGGCAGAAATGGAGAGAATCATTAGGAAAAGCACAATATGCACAACGTCATCTTGGTTGGTTACAAAAGCAAAACAGAAAGTGTGCATACATGCAGTATACTGTCACAAAGCATGTGAACCCAACCAATCAGAATGCAAGAATCACAACAGTTATCTTATAATATCAAATAGCAGTGTTTACTCACATTAGTTATTACACTGTAGACCATGTATGCATTCATACCATCACCTAGAAAGATCAAACACAGTTAAAACATGCTTGGCACTAAATTTTGAAAATTTATTACAAAGACTATTAACTTTGCTAAAAATAAAAACACCTAGATACTTACCAACTTTCTCTGGATCCATGACTTTGATTTCCAAGTCAAATGTATCTGTTTCCTCTTCAACATCTTCTTCTTCTTCCTTATTTTTGAGACATGGCAATAAAATAAAATAAATAATGAGATGAATATATATAGTGGGATACACGATACAGCCTCTCAGATTTCAAGACCTTTTTGATTGATCTAGTTTTCTTTGTTAACAAAAAAATGTCGCTTGGACTTATAAGAATATTATTTTACATCTAAAAAGATTTATATTTATAGACTTAGCTGTCAAATGGTTGGAAAAAACACACACCCTACAACGGGGTACTACTCTTCCCAGTAGACCATTACACCCCACGTTTTTTCAACCCATCCAGAGGAGCTTTTAAACCCGCCTGTGGCTGAGAAAAATTGATYGTGTGATCGCATTTCGTGTACCACGTGATGAGCTTTTTGATGTACCACATGATCAAAATTTGACAACGCCAACAAATTTTGATCACGTGGTAAGCTCATCACGTGGTACACAAAATGCAATCACGCAATCAATTTTTCTCAGCCGTGGGCGGGTTCAAAAGCTCCTCTGGATGGGTTGAAAAAACGTGGGGTGTAACGGTCTACTGGGAAGAGTAGTACCCCTCCCCTAGTTTTTGATCTTGCATTCTTTCAAGAGATAGACATTTATAAACTTTAAATCTACAGAATCTCTAAATACTAGGTTTTCACTTTCTACAAAAGTATAGAAACAGAAACCAATTTTCTAAAAGCAATATAGAGATACTCTTTGGAGTTTCGCTTGCGATTAATGACTGAAATCTAAGCTCAATAGAGTAACGTTATAGCACAACTACAACGCCAGAACGGAGAAGTATTCAAAGCTTAAGAGCAAAAAATTAAGTATTTTTTCAGAGCCTATTTTACCTCTGGCTTAGGCTTTGGTTTATCTTCTTTCTTAGGAGCTTCTTCAGGTTCGGATAAGTTTGTGACATCGACCGAGGCAGCTCCTTGAGGTTCGTCTTTTGACTTCTCATCCGGAGTCTCTTCTTCACTTTGCTTTTCCTCCGTTTTCTCTACGTCCACCTTTGCAGGCTCACTCTCTTCCTTGTCATCAGAGTCTAAAGATATCTCGGTAGTATCTCCAAAGGGATTAGGTGACGGTTCTTGAGTTTCCTCTTGTGGAGAAGGTTCATCGTCAAAGAGAGCTGGAGCCTCACTATCCGCCATCTTGACTCCTGGTACCGCGAAGTCACGTGCACAAGCTGTTCTGTTATATGATTCATGGAAAGCAGCTTTTCAACTTACTGGGGTGGGGTAAGGGACGAAACAAAATGAGCTTTTATCGATTTTATTAAGAAAAGGGGTGGGAGTTTGTGAAAAGAAAGTTCAATGGAGATGAAGCATCTTAGATAAATTAATAATTATTTCCATTTTGCCATATCAGCTTTATATCAACAATATTTATACAGGGATGTTTCATTTAGCAGAGCTAGTTTAAAGAGAGTCCTGTGAAAATACAATAAAAACAACAACAATATACAAATAAAACAAAAACAAAGTACAATAAAAGAAATATTGTACAAACGATCTGCAAAAAATATATAACTAACTTTATTTGGATACATAGCTTGTTGTGTCAATTTTTTTTAAATTACAGATCATAAAGAAAAAAAGATAACATAACAGTTTGGAAGACCTACAAAAGACAAGCCACTTTTTAGAGAAGAGTGCAGTTGTCAGATGGATAAGGAAAAACTGTAAATATTTGGGGAAATAGTAAATGAGGAGTGGATAGTTCAGTGGGGGTGGGGGTGGTTGTGGAGGNGGGGGGGGAAAGGAAAATGGGACATAGGGCCCTCTACTCCAAGTGCCGACTGATATTTCAACTGAAAGAAAGCATACTAAAGAGTACAAAATAAATGTATGGTATAAGACCTATTTTATTTCAAATATGCTAAATTCACAGTATCTATAGAGATAAATAATTCAATGATTACAGTAATGATCCTAGTAAATCTAATTTATATATAGTAATTCTTCCATAGAAGTCYGTACTTTTTGAAAATGTGATCTTCAAGACTTGAAAAGAATTTTTAGAATTAACTGGAAATATCTGGTACAAAGTGTTAAGTGAAAATTTGGCATTTTGTATCTTAAAATTTATTCCATATTAAAATCATTAATTATATAATAATATCAAATAATAAAGGAACAATGAAAAAATGGAAAAGAAAATAAAGGAAAAGAAAAATGAGAGTATGAATGTAAGTGAAAGAATGAGAGGAGAAATGAATGTGAAAGAATGAGCATGAGGTGAGAGAAAGAAGAAAAGAGCAGAAAAGATGGGGTAAAGGTGAATAAATAGCACACTACCGTTTTACAAATACATTTACTCAAGGATACTTGTAATGTATTGACATCGTCTGGATAAAATTGATGAAACATAGATAAACTTTTAGTAGAATCTCCTCCCTCTATTTGACAATCACAACCAACGAATCCTCCTTGGAACTGAATTTGGATTTCCTTCAGTTGAACATTTCTTGAGAAATCAAAAACTATGAATTGAGGACTTCCCTATAAAATAGATGACATTTTTATTTGATAAAAAATGTGATTTGGATAGTTTTTTGTGTGATTAGATAGATTAATTAAGTTTGGGATGGACTGTCACGTTAAACAGCATTATTTYCCCCCTCCCCCCCACAGCCATTTTTGGGGAGCAATGAATTGTAAAGACCCTGAAACATGTGGGGATACTATACCACCATTAAGTGACTCATTTTAAAATGCCATCAAATGCAGTGAGACGCTTTGGGTAGGATGCATCCATGCAATTTTTGCATCCTGAGGTTGAGGAAAAACTGGTTTGAGCTGGCATTGCAGTGCATTTTGGGGCTGTTTAGGTATCATTTTCCAAGATGGCACCAATTGATGGGCTCCCTGTGTAATTCAGAACCTCACCTGATCAGAATTCCAGCAAGTTTCTTCTTTGCCATCAAACATAAATTTCTTTCCATATTCTTTAACGTCTCTATTAAGAACTGAACTCACTCTGGATAAAAGAATATCGTAGCATAATTTTCTCATTTCCAACTAAATTATTCTTGGTAGATATTTTACAAGACTTTTGGGCGCGACTACTTCTCAAACGAGCCCTAGTATTAAAATATCTATCTGCTTCCCAAATTTATGTAAAAGAAGGTCAAAAACTTACTTTATTTTTGTGTTTTCTTGTATCAATGATACTACTGGTCCGTCCGCCATCTTGGATTACAGGGACATTATATTTGAGGAGGTCAATCATATGTGCTTATACTGTACCTATACCCAGTTTCCTCTCGTCCTTTCAAACAACAATGCAGCGTCAACAAAAATGTCGGTCAACTACGCTTCAGGTTTATCAGACTATCCAAATAAAGGAAAATGCGGCCTTCCCGAGGTAAAAGGAACTTAAAAATTGAATAGGATAACATTAAGTACTTATACTAACAAATGGTATTTGTTTTTTTCTGTAGCGTTTTGATTCTAGCGACGATTTGGACTCCAAAGTTTCCCTTCTCGTCGACTTGCTTCGAACTTCCAAACATGCTATCGTTCATACAGGWGCCGGCATTAGTACTTCTTCTGGTATTCCAGACTTTCGAGGGCCTAACGGAGTGTGGACATTGGAAGAAAAAGGGTTAGCTCCCAATTTCGATGTTTCTTTTGATAGCGCAGCGCCTTCATTAACTCACATGGCTTTAATAAAGTTGGAAGAAGTCGGTCTCGTAAAGTACATTGTGAGTCAAAATGTTGATGGCCTTCACTTGAAGTCTGGATTCCCTAGGTAAAATTTTTATTCTTTTGAAATAAGTTTTTAAATAATTTTATATGTATAAAACAGATAAAAGAATTGAGCATCATATCTTTTCTCAAGAATCATTCCTTCTCACTAATCCTCTTTTTTCATTTTACTTTTTTTCTCATGGCAGATCTAAACTTTCTGAGCTGCATGGTAACATGTTTGTCGATAAATGCGATAAATGTGGTAAAGAATACATTAGAAAGACAGCTACGACATCAGTTGGACAGAAAAGAACAGGAAAATCATGTGTGCAACAACGAAGACGTGGAACATGCAGGTATTACACACACACACACAAGTGCTTCAATTTTGAAGTTTCTTGTTCAAATTTCCTTTCCTTGAGTCCATCCAGTTGTTGTTGCTGCTGTTGTTCTTGCTGTTGATGATATCGTTGTTGTTCCTGCTGCTGCTGTTGTTGTTGCTGCTGTTGTTGCTGCTGCTTTTATTGCTGTTGTTTTTGTTGTTGCTGATGCTGTTGTTGCTGCTGCTGCTTTTATTGCTGTTGTTTTTGTTGTTGCTGATGCTGTTGCTGCTGTTCAGTTATAAATGCTGCTGCTGCTCTCATTGTTGTGTTGTTGCAGCCGCTGCTGTCTTTGCTTAGTTGTCACCATTGCTAATGTAGTTGTTGTGGTTTTTTTTGCTAAATGCTGTCATTGTTGTTTTTGCTGCTGCTGCTGCTGCTGTTGTAATTCCTTAAAAGCCTATCATTTCATATGGCATTCAAACTAGCCTACTCTATCTATCAACAGGGGGAAGCTGTGTGATACAATATTGGACTGGGAAGCTAATCTACCATACGATGACCTCTTAGCAGCTGAACAGCAATCAAGGTACATTACTTATGGAAGTCTTCCTTAGAATACTAGAACAGTTTGTTACCTTTACATTGGAGAATGTTAGAATAGAGGCAGAAGTTGTGGATGTGATGTTAACAGTAATGTAACAAAACATGTCTTTGTCTTCACAGACAGTCAGACCTCTCCTTATGTCTCGGCACATCACTCCAGATTCTTCCAAGTGGAAATCTTCCATTGATAACTAAAAAGAATGGTGGCAAAATAGTAATTGTCAATTTGCAAAAAACCAAACATGTAAGTTTTGAAAACCCTTGATATTCTCTGATAATTTTGGCATATTTTTTTAGTTACTATGGTAATCAGTCTCATTGGTAACCAGTTCATTTGCCTAGTCTAGTTTAGGGTAGGCTAGTCAGTTGGTTACTATAGAAACTAAATCAGCTGACCATTTCGAATGTTCCTTTCAAGTCTGTTATTTTTAGTGGAAACCATGGCAACCTTGTATTTGGTTACTATGGAAACCAAATAATTTTCCAATTCATTGTAATAGGGCATTCTATATACCATGGTATATAATATGCAGCCCGTAAAGTCCTTCACTGCAATGCACTATATAAGAACCCCATTATTGTTATTATTATGATATCTTTATAGGTCTTTTCTGAGTTCAATAAACAGGATGCATTCTGGTCTAGCTACAGCAAAAACAACAAAAGATGTTAGTACCCAAGCTATACCACAATGCACCATGTTCAGCATCTCAAATTAATTTAGCATCTTAACACCACATTCATGATCTCCAACTACAGTACTATATTACTTTTTCACTAGGATAAGAAAGCAGATTTGAAAATCAACTATTATGTTGACGAAGTCATGAAAAGAGTGATGAAAATGCTAGGTTTAGAAATACCAGCGTACAAAGGATTCCACCCAGAAAACGATCCAAGACTGTGCAATAGTGTCTTGAAAACAGAGGATAGTGATGAGGAGAGTTCTGAGGATGAAATTGAAGACAAGAGTACAGTAAAACTAGAAGATAGAGGTACCAGTAAATTAGAGAAAACTAAAAATTCTCAAAGCAATGGTGAACATATTACAGAATTTATGGAAGGTTCGACACAAAAACTTGAAAATTTAAAACGGGAACCTCTGAATGATGCTGAAAAATTTAGTTTAGATATAGACAAAGGTGGTCAAAATGATAAAGAAGATAGCATCTCTGACGTCAAGAGGCAAAAACTTGACGTGAATATGTGAATAGGTGGGGCAGTTCTTACTATATTTAAACTAATATGGAATTGAACTGAAAATGGGAAAATTAGCTGGGAAATGGGTGTTTTTTATGAGATATATTCGTGACTGTTCGAGCATCTATTCTTATTCATACTTCATTCATTCATTCATTCATTCATTTTGACTTGGAAACAATCTGTGGTACCATAGGGCAATTTCGATACAGCTGATGTTTGATATGAATATATTTTTCAAGTTCTCATTCATATTTCTTTCATTCATTTCTCATTTCAAAGCTAAAAAATATATGTAACACAGGCCTTGTTACTGCTGATGTTCCAGTCTCAATAGAGATACGCTTTTCTAACTTTCATTCGTTTTTCATTTTTATACAATTTCAAAACAATTGTGGTTAAACAATGACCACCTGTCGAAGGGAAGCTTTATTTATTTATTTGCAAGAGTAAGGAACAAAAATATGTAATTTCAGAATTTTTCCAATGAATAAGCTTGTCAAATCCCAGAGCACTTAGCCATTGAGCCGTTGACATGAAATTGACATGTTTGTTTCCTAAGAATTGCAAATTTCTAACAATGTATTTAAGATGTCATAAAATATGATTCTACTTTCGCTAATTTTTCATTAATTGCTTTTATCGTGACTCCCAAGATCACAGCATCAATGGATGTAATTAGAGCTATTTAACCAAATATTTAATCATCTTGACATGTGCATTTGACATGGTTTTCAAATAGTCATATCATTGTCACTCCTTATCCAAGAGCTGCTGTCATAGAAAATAGATTTTTACCAAAAATTTTCGTGTTTCGACCCGATAAACCTGTTAAGGCTACAAAAGCAAGGTATTTTTTTTCGTTTGTTTGTTTGTGTTTGTCAGTTTTGTGTCTGAAAAATTTCACCTTTCAAAATATACCCCATATTTCTAGGTATGAATAATAACACGATGATTGCAATATACTACGTTATAGGTGATACTCAACCACGCAATTCGTCATTTACTGAGTTATTTTTGTGGACGCCTACAGAAGATCTACAAATATGGTTACGCCATAGCGCTGTGACCATCAACATACCTCAAAAGGCGCTTGCGTAGTCCACACCATGAAAAATAACTGCGTCATTAGACAGTTTTGGAAATATGTGTTACGCCATTCTTGAGACATGTTGCTTAGCGGTTGCGTGAGGGGGTGTAATCATGTTTACATCATATTAATCTTAACCTCTCAAATCACAAGTACAACCCTTAGTAACAAGTACAAATATTGAGGTGTATGTTGAGCATCGGTATTGTAAACCAGAGTTCTGTTTTGAAAGTTTTTGTCCATTGTTTGATTCCTTGAAGCATTCCTAAAGCCCCATTTACACTGGCGATTTTTGCTGCATTTTGTGTGGCAATTTTCGGAAATATGAAATCTTTTGTCTCACCCTTCAAAAGAGACATTCGTCTAGGAAAATCCTGGTATCCTGAAAAAACTTTACAAGTAAATTCTTTACCCTTATTTATTATGGACAAAATCGCAACAAAAACAAAAAAACAAAAATCGCCGCAAAAATCGCTAGTGTAAACGGAGTTTTAAAGAGCCATAGGCGCGATTGCATGGAGCATTGGAGCGTGTAACCTACAGCGCAATTCAAAAGTAGAATTCGTTCCTACTTTTGGCAAAGATCGCGTCTCTGTTGCACCGTGTAGATACTTTTGCAACTTGTGTCGCAACATTATTGGGGAAACTACTATGTGTAATCGCGCCTTTAAAGATGTTGGTCGCGTACGAGCCAGGCGGCGATGACGTAATGTGCAAACGCGGAATTTTGTTAAAGAAGTTCCCAAGATAGCAAAAACAAAACAACTCCTTTTCTCTACTTTAATATTTTTATTTTAACTTTATTTTTTTTATCATTAAGTTTATTTTAGCAGATAAATGTAAACTGTGGGCTGCATTTGGAGTATAAATTTCCCAGTAAGTATCGATATTTACAGCTTTTTTTCTACAGCAGATTTCGTTTGAGTAGAAAATTGACGACAATTTGACAATCAAATGGCTTTCTCTCTTGTATGGTCCAATCAAAATGTGAGAAAAAGCCTAGCAACCAGTCACAGCGCTCGCACCATGATTTTAAAATGGCTTCGTCTCTGGACCAATAAGAGAGCGGAAAGAATTACACACCGACCAATCACAGTGTTCGAAATATGACTTTCGATAATTCTCGCTTTGAATCAATCAGAAAGCCTTTCAATCAGAGTAACGCTCGTTTTCGACTCAAACGAAATTGCTTAATCTATTTGTTTTTGTGGTATTTGTTAGAATTTTCCCAAAGTTCTTTAAAAACGATAAAAATTATTTATCACTGGCCGATAAACCCGTTAGCTGATAGAAAAAGCTTGTCATAGAATAATATAACAAGGTATAAAACTATTCACAAATATCAGCATAAGAAAAGTAAGCCGCTTCTTGCAGTAACTTGTTTAATCTTTTTTCTAATTTTTTCAGTATTCTTATTTTTGTTTATAAAGTATCGTTAATAAAGTGTTTTCTTTTGGTTAGAAAGATGACTTGGTCGATCGGAACTCGCCTCAGTGGTTCTCGACCAAGGCACAGTAATTTTCGGGATTTTGTTTTGTTTTGCGTTGCTTTGAGCAGGATTAACAAGGCTTCCCTATGTGCTATGCGCAGATTCTAATTACATATGTAGGACCTGGAATTTTAAGCAGTTATGATTCTGCCCAGGGTCTCATGCCTTAGTAGTATCGTACATGTCACGTGACTATGCGTTATGTCACGTGACCATGCTATAAGTCACGTGACTATTAGATATAGATATCTCTTGCTAACCCACTTTGCAGCCCAGTGAATATTTCGATTCTAAAATCGTCAAATAAACTGACTTCCAAGCTAGAGATTGAATACCAGCTTCTATCTCTCATTCTATTCAGTTTAAACAGCAATCTAACCTATATCACACCTTAGATCTAACCCTTGTACATATACGGTTACGCCTCTCTAGCATAAATACATACACTGTACTGATTACCATGTATGGAATCTCATTTGGTCAGTACTTTATGTAAGAACAACTAAAATGGATTGGTACAGAAAACTAAAGAAAATGACGACAAAAAAACAATCATCCATTATATGTAATCTTACGTGGAGTAGTAACCTTTTACTTTACTCAGACCTATAGCAGGATCAAGACCGTCGGAGGGGGGGGGNTAACCTTTTACTTTACTCAGACCTATAGCAGGATCAGGGGGGGGGGGGGGGGGGGGGGGGAGGATTGGTATAGCATGGATGAACTGGTAGGAATCTATTTTTTTCCTAAATGAAGGTTGTGGAAGATGGGGGTGGGGGGTGGGGGGAGTTGGTTTCTTCTGCTACAGCTTCTAGATACAAGTAAGGTTACACTCAATACTCAGAACTTTCCAATAGACTTTTAAAATAATTAAAAAATTACTTACTAATAACTGAAACTTCGTCTCCCCTTTCAAATATACACAAAATAATATTCTAATAAATGATAAATATCAAAACACGTTACAATAAATAATGATCCTAATTAATACTAATTATAAATGGTATAACAAAATTTCCATTCTAATTTCATGGACAATCAAATACATATCATCTAGTTTTAAGCCTGTTTTTATGCTTGCGGCTAAAGATACGTTGTGGGGTTCCTGTGGTGGCTGGCCAAGATTCTCAAACTACGCTTTTTATATTCGTTTTCTGATTGGCTAATGCAGCATGTAAAAGCAAGCGGATTCAGTCGCACCCGATTTGCTAAGGTTCCTTCGTCTCTGGCGACGACGAAAGCAAACGCTCAATAGGCAATGACGTCAACAGAGCCTGCGCTTCTTATGGTCAGCGCATCTCATTCCCCAATACTATATGCCGCAAGCACATTTCCGTCCGGCTTTAACAATGTTATTTTAAACGTCAGTCTCTTCCGCCCTTAAAAACCCAAGTAGAATTAAAACGAGGTCAAAAGAGATTTAATAAACGACATAAAAGTCGCGGACGAGATACGAAAGGGTCAACAACTGACAAAAATCTAATCAAATCGATGACTAAAAATAATGATACTCTCTTTAACACATAAATTTTTGCTATCAATAACGAATTTTTTGCCTTAAATGGCTCAAAAATCTTTCGTAAAAGATTCGCGAGAATTTGAAATAATCTTCTGGTTTGGATGATATTTCTACTAATTGCTCCTAAATAAGAATTTGCCTTCTTTGATGGAGCCATTATTTTTGCCATTGATTGCGTAAACAGAGCTGAGCTTAAGCGCTCTGTTTCAAATAACATATTGACTAAAGCGTAATGGGCTGTTGCTGTGACTACGGCGTTAGCACAAACAAACTGCGGTAGCGTTAGTAGATCAGACTGCGAAAGAACGAAAAACTGCGCTCCCTAGTGGCGAGTAGAGTAGATACTAAAGATAGTGAAGCGAGCGTTAGTAGATCAGACTGCGAAAGAACGAAAAACTGCGCTCCCTAGTGGCGAGTAGAGTAGATACTAAAGATAGTGAAGCGAAGACCTTTGACACCTTGGCCCACTCTTGAAGCGTTATATACCTTAGGCGAGTAGCTGTGATCCATCGCTGTGCGTACGAGAACCAAGCTTTTGATAGCGTAGAGGCAGCAAGAGGCTTTGTGGCGAAGCGTAGAAGTAGCTAGCAGAGGTAGCATTCCTCTATCTGATTGACAGCCTGCCAGATGTCCTGCCTACCAGGTGCATTTTCTCGGGCTCCGAGTAGCTGCCGTTGATTCTTTTATGTGTTGATTCTGGTGGAAACTGTTGAGAGAGTAAAAACAGTTTATTTTAGATAAAAAACTAAATAGTCCCCTTCACAGTTCCCTGCGCCATCTTGAAAGGTAGCCGTGCCTTTGCATCGACGCGAGACGAATGGTGAGCTTTCACTGATAGGAGACCTTTTTTAAGACCTTGAACAATTATTCACTGGTCTCTATCATTGCAAGGTTACCGTTCGTCTCGATGCAAAGTCAAGGCTACCGTTCATGCAAGTTGGCGTAGGGAACTGTGATTGGACTATTGCGCATACTTGCTCTCATTAGATGTTCGCGTGGGAAGTAGTTATTTATTGAATGATATTGCGCCGGCTTTTATGACAATCCGGGAGAGTTTTTCCTGTTTATCATTACCATTAAAGGCGGAATACCTACATTACATACGTTTTGCTCTTGAAAGAACTGCACGATCTTGGAAAATTCTGGTCTGTCTTCTTTCTCGAAACTCCAACATTCTCGCAATAAAGTCTGCATTTTAGAAAATGTGTCGTTAGAACAATATCGACAGCCACGATGATATCATGAACTATAGTTAATAACTATCCAACAATATCAATAGTACAGCATGTGTGGTGTTCCACAGGGATCGATGAAGAAGACGAGAATTGTTAATAACGACCAAAAGTAAAAGCAACAAGAGTAACGATAAAAGATAAAGATAAGCATTTACAGTGGTTTCACTGAGGAAAATTCTGTACAACTTGTCTTGCAATCTTGTTGCGCAATGTTACGCAATAGATAGTGCTTTGCGCACAGTGGCACCAGAAGAGGAGGGAACCAAAAGAAAGAAAGAAAAGGGAAGGAGGGAGGGAGGAAAGAATAATAAGCCTTCTGTGTTTATTTTTCATACCTTGATGTTTTCTGGGCATTTCGTATGCCGCAAGCACTGTTTTGTGCCTTTACCAACCAACCAGATGACAGAGTCGACAGGATGTGTCGAGAACGGCCATCGTCCGGTCATGATCTCGTACAGAAGCGTACTAAAAATGGAAAAAAATTACTATTTTTAAAAACAGGAGCCATAATCATTCGTAAAATATTTCCAGAAAAAAGATGATTTAAAATGCTTCTTGTGTTAGATTTATGATATTTTCCTTAAGACTTTCTCTTAAAATATTAACAAAAGTTCATGAAAAGTAATTTGGCTTTTCAGGCCAGCCAATGATGCAAAATAAGGCACTATTTTTGGCTTTGGTCGAACATTAATGGCGATAAACAACAAAGAAAAGATTGAAATAGGGTACAGGTAAGGTACAGCTCATACAATAGACCTCAAGCATGAGCACGTGGTAAAACAAAGCGCTCAAGCGAGGCGCCCCCAAGGTACTTTCAAAGGATTATTCAAATTTGAACCGTGCAACCTCGACTGAATGCTTTGTGTTTGACTAGTGAGCCAATGTACGGAAAATGGTGAATACCTACATATTCCAGAATCCCTTTCGTTAACTTTTTTGTTATGCTAATTTTCATTATTGTCTTTGTATTCTCAAATTTTTGACATGTGAATTTAGTCTAAATGAACTTACAGAATGTTTCGACATAAAAAGAGATTTCGAAAAAAATTGTGGTAGTCTAGGTATGAAATGTTATTTGGGCTTGATATCTATGAGGGCTGCCATGCGAAAGGCCCTTTGAGTTAAATATCAGTTATCATATATTTACCCATAAGCATAGAGATTGCTTTGTACGGAGTGTTTCGTGAATGGCAGGATCTCATCATCACACCAAACTAGCGTACGCATCATTTCCGGTGGGATATACGTCATGTGACCACGTGGTATGCTGACGTAACCATTTCTAAACGTATAAGAAATAAGTTATCAGTTAGACAATCGTTACGTTTTCCCCAAGACCTTGGTGGATTGTGCGCATGCTTGAAGGATCGAGACCAAATAGTCGTTTACAATGTCTACATATCCTTTGGTAACCGCTAGCCAAGGGGAATGAGTCAAACCCTACATCGTCACTAAGGATTTCTGAAAATGAAAAATTTACTTGAAACTTTTTTTTAACCAATGCTAAAAACGTTTAGCTTTGGAAGCGCACTTTATTCAGTTGGTCCAGCGTGCGCAATGAGAACAACAGGGACTGGAATCTAGTTGGAGCGCGCGTTCGCAATTTCCCGCCAATTTTGTGAGCATGCGCTCTTCTCTTAATAAATCAGAACCCTCACCTTTCTACAACCGTTCGTCCCGAATACGCTGTTACGCATAGCTTTACTTTAGACTCGAGAAAAACGTTCATGGAGTTGAAGTGAGGTAGAACGATTCCTTTAGCATGAAGGTAGCTCATTCCTTGTGCGATTTGGCGCGCGATGCTGATTCTTGTCGACAGTGGAAAGAAATCGTGTCTGACGTGAAGATGAGTGTGTAGAGATAGACCTTTACGAACACTGAAATAAAACACGAGAGAGTTCGTATTACAATGGCACAAACTTTTGTCCAATCAGAAAACGATCACACGGGTACGGCATTACCCCAAGCACCAGGCTCCTTCTCACCTCTATATAAAATGCTAGGGGAGGGGAAGGAAGGTCAGAATCACAAGATCTCCCTCCTTTTAGCCTTAAAACACCAAAAGATTTTGCCGCAATATAATTGATGTGTCTAAATAGATATATTTACTAACTGATGCGTCCTTTGTCTCTAATTTTAAGGGCAATAGATACACTAATAGGTCTGAGCAAAAATTAATCCGATTTCTAAAGTACTCTTTTGAATTGCTCGAAAGAGACCGGCGTCTTATAATGTCACAAGTCTCCTGCCAGACGCTCGGCTTTTAACAAGGCTAATCGAGCACGTGGGATCATCTTCAATGAAGATATTGGAAAACGTGGCTTTTAAGCAATAATTTAAGTTTTTTGTCCCCCATTGAGCATACGGTCACTTCTCATGGTCTTAAGTGAGTTAAATGTGCCATAAAATTGAGTGATTATTCATCATAGGCGTGCTGACGGTCAGGAATAGGTCACGTGACGAAACCTGGTTGCTAACCTAAGGCATCATTAAAATAGGGTCACGTGATATCAGGTGTGGTGTCACGGTGGGGTCACGTGATGATTCAGACTTGTTTGGAGATCATGGGACATCCCTTGAGGCTAATCCAAGACGTCATTAAACTAAGATAACGTGTTGTCACGTGATTAATTTATTTAAGGCGTGGTTACCTTGTAATGAAGGCCAGGTTGGGTGGCTCTAGGCAAGCTCCCATAAAGAGGACAACGTTTTCATGTCTGATCATGCTCAGTAGCGAAACCTAAAATCAGAATCGCAATAAAAAGTTAATGTTTTTCTGCGCATGTGTAACGCGCATGTCAAATGATAACCCAAGTGTCCGTGACTTACTTCTTTCAAAAATTCCTCCAAATCTTGCTTGGCAGTTTTCTTGACAGTATGGATCATAATATCTCCATGCCAACGACCCCTAAACAAACAGGAACAAGCGAAGGAAATGAGTTTTTTTTACACAAAACTATTCTCGACTCATTGTTGACAGTTCTGCTCTAGAGAACTTAATAGTATACACGATTAGCTATCTATATACTCATTTATGGCTATTTTAGGAGTCTCCAAAGCTTATCTTGCTACCAAATATTATGAATTATTCATGAGCATTTTAATTAACCCGTTCAATAATCTCGTAAATCAAGACTGTTTCTCAGATCTATAGCTAAACATTCAATATCACTCCCAACATGCACTAAAATATTATATTTTTAATTTATCACCCTGAAAATTAACCCCTGATGATTTACGAGTTTCTGTGAATAGCCTAAGGGTATATTTACACGGTTATTATCTCGTATCACTTGATGACAGGCAATTCAAAACCTTTTTCTTTCATGATGCTGATTATTAATCGACTGACCCCCTAGGACGGTATTTCATGGTCTTCTGCACGTACATCGATCCTTGTTTACGGCCTAAAGACCTTATCTTTTTGCACGGAAAACTAAAGGCCTTAAGCTGTTTTTACCTTTTCACCTGTCCTAACTTATGAATATAAAATTCTTGATAAACAATGACCGCTTATTTTGTTCTATCTTTAGCAATTTACTGCACGAAGTACCTAAATCATCTGGCCAATACTGTTTATCTAACTCAAAAGGTTCTGAAGAATTATTTCTGAAAAACTACTAAAATCGTTTGCGTGCTGATACTTGCGTGATCGTGATCACTTTTGCGTGTTTGTTTTCGTTTCTAACATACAAGGAAAACTTCCATATAAGGATATATCGTGACGTCATAATATTAAGTTTTTCGTTGTTGTCTTTTTGAAAAATTGTACTTAAAAGGAAAGAATTGAAATTAAGTCAAAGTTGCAACAAATTATATCTTCTTTCTTCCTTTCTTTCTTTCTTTCTTTCTTTTTTTTTTCTTTCTTTTCTTTTCTTTTTTTGCATTTTGTCCTCATTTTGTCCTCAGTTTCCTAACTACTTTGTCGTATTTCGTTTCGGCTAATTTTGATCTGCCTATAAGTGAATTTAACATATATTTTTTTACGTTTACGTACTTAAAAACATGCCCTTTTGGACTGGCCCCAACTTCATCTCCAAACTGCAAGTCTTTGAAGGGAATTTTCCATTCTTTGAGTGATTTCTGCACACAAAAAAACAGCAAAGAAAAATATAAGTTTTGAGAGTCAGTCGGACTCAAGCTGTTAGCGAGAGTCATGAAGATATCAAATTATCTCATAGTTTTAGTTTTTCTTTTAAGACTGTTATTATATCTGTTAGTAAAAGAATATATATGTAAATTCCTTTTTCATTCCAACTCAAACACCACACTTAATATTCTGAGACAAGGTGAGATAGCCGGATGTTTTTATCGGTTATTGTTCAGTTATTGACATAACCCTCTTCTAACTTTATAATAAGATTTTGAACTATCCACTTTTTTTACTGCAGAGGAAAAATGAGTAACTCCTCCAGGGTTTGTTTGTTCATTTGTGCCCTGACTTAGATCAGCCCAGAGGCTGTTTCAGGGTTGGATCTGTGATTTAGCCGCGCCCTGACTTAGATCAGCCCAGAGGTTGTTTCAGGGTTAGATCTGTGAGTTAGCCATGCCCTGACTTAGATCAGCCCAGAGGTTGTTTCAGGGTTAGATCTGTGAGTTAGCCATGCCCTGACTTAGATCAGCCCAGAGGTTGTTTCAGGGTTCGATCTGTGAGTTAG